CTGTGGTCCTCCAAACAATAATAAAACAAAACAAAATAAATCATTCTGTCTTCTTAAGAAAAAAGTAGTTGTCATTCTTTCCCTGCAGAGAGACTTTTCATAAAGTGTGTAGAGGATAAGGAAGATAAGACTAAATACAGACTAAAGGCAGAGAGTTAGCAATGGAGCTGACTTTAATCTCACCAAGGGCAGATGCGGTGGTGGAGTTATTTTGCAACAGCATGAAGACTAAATGTTGAGCCCTGGTAGCAGTTGGGCTGGGAGGTAAAAAGGAATAATTAGAGAGTGAAGGAAGGTGTAGGAAGTATTTTTTTTAATTTTTTCTTTTTTAAAAAAATAATTGTACGTGAAGTAAAATAGTTATAGCGTTTCTGTTTAACTTGACTTTAGCTGGTTGTAAATGCAGCTGAGGTAGTGTTATACCTGGATACCAGAGAAGCCCCGAGGAGTGCACGAGGTTTGCCATCCCCACTAGAAGGAAGGACAGCAGTGAATTGAAGGACACGAGGTCTGCCGAGGGGCCACGGGAAGAAGGTAAGCATGTGTGACAGTTTTGCTTGCCTCTTCTGCAAACACCAGGCACACCTATGCCCTTGCCATTGCTGCTGTCATGGCTGCACTGTTGGTGATGCTGTGCACACCCTTGGCTTCCCTGCTCATATGCTGATTGCTGTGTGCTCTGGGGCTGTGTTAGTCATGGCTCTGTGTTAGCACCTGCCATGCTGCACTTGGCCACTGGAAGCCGTGTTGGGAATGGAACTCTGGCCTGCAGACACCCACATCAGGTACCCCGGTAGTCACATCCTCAGAGGCCTGACTGCTAGGACAGGATGGGGGCAGGAAGGGGGCAGAGTCCTAAGGAAGGTCCAGTGGCTCCTCCCTCTAACTCCTCGTAGATCTGACAGGTCAGTCTTCTGGCTGCCCAGGAGAAAGTGATCGGGCCTCACATTGCTGAGGGCCAAGAGGGCACCAAATGGTGTCAGAGATTGACTTGGGGCTAAGCAAGCTCTGTGACCTTTGGAGCTGTTTCCACTGTGGGAAATCTTAGAGCAGGAGAGCAACATAACCTTGAACACCCTTTGGAAGAGCTGCTCTGGTGGCAACATGGAAAGAAGACAGTCAGGCAAAAGTGGTGGCAGCAAGGCCATTGTGGAAGCCTGGAAGATTCTCCCAAAGGTCTGAGGGTCAGTGAAAATGAGTGGGGTGAGGGATGTTTGGATGTGAGGATTTTGGAAATATGACACAAAGAGAAGTCCCAGGTGTGGCACTGGACAGGTGATAAGTGGGTCTTCTTCTAAACCTTGCAACTCATGCACAGAGTCCCATGTTGAGGCTCCCCACAGCGGGATTTTCTCACCAGCTTAGATGGACCTGGAAGCAAGAAGCCATAAGATTCACTAGCACTGACTGTCTGTTCTCCCATTGTTCATCGATTTGCTCAAGCAGGCCCAGTAACGTCTCCATTGTGAGATGTGTTGCTGTGTTTGGCATATCAAATACATCACAGGTAGCTTGTCAGGCTTTGTGAGAGAAATACTCTCAGTAGCTTGCCGGGCTCTCTGAGAGGGACAAAAAATCAAACTCAGCTCGGCCGCATGCAAGGCAAATACCCTACCCACTGTGCTATCACTCCTGCAGTGAGATTCACTAGAGACAATCTTTTCTGCTCACACCAATGGCATGGTTGCTGTGTTTTTTTTTTTTCAAAATTTTAAATTTATTTAGCTTTTAGTTTTAGTGTTTAAGATAATTTTTCTTTCTAATGTAATTTTCTAAAACTAGACAGAGGAGGAATGGAGGGAGTAATAGGCAGAGTACAGAGGAAGTTTAAGGCCATGAACTATTTTGTATGATTCTAGGGTGGTAGATACATGTCATGAGGTATTTGTCCAAAATCACAGGATGTACAATACTGAGCGAGACCTCTAATATCAGCCCTGGTCTTGGGTGATTCAGATATGTCAGCTATAATAAATGTTCTACTCTCATGAGGGATATTGATGATTGGAGGCTGTGTTTGGGAATGGAGGGCATATGGAAAAATCTCTGTATCATCCTCCCTAGTTTTATATGATTTGTCCTAATATTTTAAAGCCAGATCTTTAACATCTAATGTATTCCTGCTACTGGCAGTGAGTTCTATTATTGATTTTCCACTTGGAATAACACCAATGAAAATATCTCTCATTGTTTAATGAGCCACCAGACTGTAACATATCAAAAAAGGTACATTTTCCCCTTGAGGAGTACCAACCTGTATGTTACATTCATAAAGGCTGAACGTGAAAGGCAGATTCAGGGTGATGGTGCTGATGAAGCTTAAACTCACCTCTTCCCATGGACACAGCAAATCTGTAACTAAACATGGCCTGATTGATAAGAAAGGAGCCTGAAAAGCAGACAGTGATTTCCAGGCAATGAATAAAAGGCAGGCAAGAAAGCTTTTTAAGTTGTGGAGGAAGATAACCTAATCTGGGTGTGGATATTTGTTGTTGGGACAGATTCTGTAGGTCTTTTTCCTGGGGAGTGGGGAAGTGTGCAACCTTTTGCTTCTTCATGTTAGAGACAAAATCCTAGAATCTGAGCAGCGAGGAGCAGTAGGAAAAACATCCCAGGAGACTCTCATACGTATAGGGAAAGGAGAGCTCACCTTAAACAACCCATGCATAGATTTGTTCAGTCAGTAGTGAATAGCACAATAACATGGATCTGAATCGTAAGGAATGAAATCTACATGCTACTCTTACAGCATTTGGGATGATCCCAGAAATGTTGGCAAGTGCTATTATGGCAAGTCTGTGCTACCCTGCTAATTTAAGTGTCCACAGGCACCATTACAAACCTTTCCCTAGCCTACTAAACGCTGTGGGTGACCCTGCTGAGTCTCTGAACCCCTGTGATGCAACCATGTGTCACAGACTGGTACCTGCATCCACCTCACACTATCACCTGGCACCAAGAGCTTCTGTGCATCACCACCTAGCACCCAGAATCACTGCACACCCATTACTATTCCAGGTCACAGTCTTGTGCCCCATATACTTCAGGTCACCATCACATTCTGCAAGTTATACACAGATTGTAGGAATGGGCAAGTCACTATAACCAGCTGCTGCTCAGTGGCAGAGGTCTGTATTATTACACACTCTGCATACCATGGTGCTGCCCCTCTCTGGCATCCCCCCCATCCACATCAGAGCTATACTGACAGCCCTAAACACTATATCATACCAACATAGCAGGAGGACAGGCACAGCCCACATAGGGAAAGTGGCTGAAACATCTACCTCAGTTTGCCACGGGGCATTATGCTCCTGAACTCCATAGTTCCACACATATGGACAACCTCATAAAATTAGAATACGTAGTAGATTAATACACAGAAGCATAGAGATTCAGTCAAAATGAGGAACGAGAGGAGCACATCCTAAGTACAAAACTACTGGAAAGAAGACTGAGAAGAAACGGACATGTGCAAACTACCTTAAGGAGTTCAGAGTAATGGTTATAAACTCAAGAACAGATAAACTAGAAAAATATATCAAATTAAGTGTGTGCTCTGCATACAGGAGCCCCAGGTTTGGTTTCTGATTATCTCTAGGAGGGATCAGAAGTTTGGAGTAGTCCCTGAGCACTTTAAAGTGTGATCCCCCCAACAACAATAACTGCAATGACAACAAAAGGATTCAAATAGGAGTTATAGAGATGCAGAATAATACAATGAAAAAACTGAAAAGTTGATTAGATGCCCAAGAGCAGACTAAACAAAGCAGAGTAGCAAATAAGCAAGCTGGAAGATAAAGCAACAGAACTCACACAGAATACCATTATTGTTTTTGGAGCCACACCTTGTGGTGTTCAGGGCTTACTCTTGGCTCTGTGCTCAGGGATAACTTATGGTAGGGCTTGAAGGGCCATCTAGGGATCAAGCCTGGGTCAGCTGTGTATTCTAGAAAAATATTAACATTTGTAGAGTGGAAGATTTTATATTTTAATATTTCTTGTAGAAATAAAAAGGGCAAATGTGTTTATAGTGACAAGCTGTCCCTGTCAGCCCCTACCTCTAAATCACTCTGTCACCAGATCCTTAAGAAAGCTTCTATTTCCCTAAGCTCACACCCACTTCCAGAGAAAAAGTAAAAATAGCAGCATACGATCTGTGTTCTGGGATTCTCTTTTTTAACTTAACTTATCTTAAAGTTTTTCTATGCCACTGGTTAGAGAGTAGCCTCGTTCCTTTTTCAATGAATATTTAATATAAAGGATGTTAGAGTTGAGAAATTACATGTGATTTAACTTTGTCAGTTCAACAATTGAGCTTTGACAAGATTAATCCTTAGTTTTCTGGGCTGTAATAGCAAATACTTAAAGGCTGAACATTTTTCTTTCCCTCTGGCTCTGTTTTCATTTCTGGATGCCATTTTATGCTCTTCAAGCCCGCATCTGAGCTTAATCACTTGCTCTCATTTTTGATAATGGATGTGTGTAATGACCTCAGATGATCTGACTCGGAGATCCCTTACGGATAAACGTTTAATTGATAAAATTTTTAAAAATCGTATGTATGTCAAAGGGGGCTGGGGCTTGTTGAATGAGATACAAATATACGTGTGCCTTAATTCCTAACAAATAGAGCTAGCTCCCTTGTTTTAATTCCTAATTAATTTCTGGGAGATTTCTTTCCAGTTTGGGAGGCTACAAGAGAAGCAGCCTTAGCGCAGACTGTGAATGCTTATCTCTGAACTGTTGTAAGGAGTTGGCAGTCCTTCTCATTCACAACGACAGGGCATTTAAGATGCCGTTTCAACTTCCATTTCTAATTCTTCCTCTCTTCTCTGAGGCACGCAAGGCCCACCCTCTCCCAGACACACGGCAATCTTTGACAGGGCAGCCTGTCAGGCGGGCTGCGTGCTAACTGCATCTGCAAACACGCCCTATAAATAGCCGATCATTGTCAGCGCGTGTTCCCAGACGAGCGTGTGCCTGGTATGATTCAGGCCTAATTAAGTGCTTGTGACCGCGCCGGGTTAGAGGCTAAGAGCGACTCGCACGGTCGGTCGGGGCTCGTTCAGGACGGAGCGCGGAGCACAAGGAGAGCCGTTCCCACGCCGTGGTCGCCCCCCGCGATGGCAAAAATCATTCTCGGGCACCACATAGAGACTCCCGTGCGGTACCAGGAGGAGTTTGAAGGTCGAGGTTTGGAAGACTGCAGGTTGGACCACGCTTTATATGCACTGCCAGGGCCCACCACCGTGGACCTGAGCAAAGCCAGGGGGGCCCGGCCTCCTGCACCGGACCCGGACGCGGAGAGGCCGCCCCGCAAGGGCAAGCCCCGCTTCCAGGTCTTGCTGGATGTGGTCCAGTTCCTCCCGGAAGACATCATCATCCAGACCTTCGAAGGCTGGCTTCTGATCAAGGCGCAGCATGCCACCAGGATGGACGAGCACGGATTCGTCAGCAGAAGCTTCACCCGGCAGTATAAGCTGCCAGGGGGCATTGAAACCAAAGATTTGTCGGCCTGCTTCTGCCATGACGGGATTCTAGTGGTGGAAGTCAAGGAACCCGGAGGGGCGCAGTAAGGTGTGACCGTGGGGTGCAGTAAGATGTGACCGCAGGGCACAGTGAGATGTGAGATGTGATCGGTTGCCTTGGAGATAGCATGCAGCCCCCGTGCCCACTGCCCCTCCAGATCCCGGGCGTTGTTGCCCACGTTGGAAATTATTTTTATGAAGATTAAAGAAATATAGCCCTTGCACCCGGTATGTGGAGGTGGTCTTTGTCATTTTTACTCACAAAGGAAAAGTGTTCATTTGTTTCTCAGACTCAGAGGGGTGCTGTTCCACAACCTGGAGCGTGGACAATGCAGGGGACTAGAATATCTCATTATTTCAACAATACCAGAGAGAGCTGCTTTGGTGACAGTTGGTGACAAAGGAGATGAGCCAATGGGATCGTTCCCATCCAGCTCATGAAGCCTTTTCAGACATGGCTAAGGGGAATGGCGGTAACTTTTACTTGATCGGCCTTTCTTTTAGTCCTCTGAATGTGGGGTTTTGTAATGAGAGCAATTGAAGGTTAAAATACAGTACTTGGAAATCGGGTCTGAAATGTATTTGGAGTCACAAAAGTTGTGAACAGCCTTAAATTCCTGTTGGGATTTTCAGAGAGGTATAAATAAATCTTATTCTTACAAAGCTCTAGAGATACACATAAAAAAATAAGCTAAATTGAATTGTTATAGGTATTATGAGATATTAATAAATACCTATTAATTCCTGATCGAAACTATATAAGTTTAGGAGACCACTTTTTAAAAGATGACTAGATTCATCTGCTCGCTTCAGAGGCTACTTAAAAATACTTTAGATTTGAGAAGCATTTGCTCTCTCTCGGCCCCACCCTGGCTGGAGCAGCAGGGATGGGTTCGGAGGCTGAGTTTATACAACATGTCTGGCTGTCAGAATATTGTCCTCAACAGCTGGTCTTCGGCATTCCAGAGATTTGCTGTCTCATTCTGTAAATGCTAAATATTTCTTATGAGGAAGTAGCTGCACCCCCACGCTCTCCTACCTCCCCCCCTCACCGCCCCCCAGTTGAGGCTGCTGAAAAGTCTGGGGACAGCTGCTGGGAATACAGGAGGAAGAGAAGGGGCGGGGAAATATCAGGGAGGTGGCAGACTGTGACAACACTGGCCTGTTCCTCCAGAGTGCTTTGTTTTCAAATCAAAACAGACACAAAATAATAGGAAAAGAAATCAAACAGTTCTAAAAGGAGTTTTGAAAACAAATGTAGAGAGTTGTTTGCTTGCAGTAAATTGAAAGGATTTTGAAGCTTGGTTATTTATTCCAGATTAGTGCCTAGACAGTTAATGTTTGTGCAGCTAACCCTAGGCTAAGGTTTCACTAAAAAAAAGTGAATAACTCTGACCAGCTCTGCCCAAAAACTAAATTAATATGAATGCATGGCTTGATATCAGTTAATACGGTTGAAATTAGGAGACCGTTTTCCCACTGTAGGTTTCTCTTTCCCATTGATCGATGGAATTGTATGTAACCAAGGTTGTGCTTTGAGAATCAAACCACAGATATCTCATTTGGCTTTGATCATATTCTAGATGAGATTCGATTTCTGGGAAAGTTCAGGAACTGAAATTCTAACCACAGGAGCCACAAATAGGAATGGTTTTCTTTTTAAAATAAAAATTAGTATAGCCTGTATAGATAGGATAGTCAGCCAGCTTTGATTCAATCTCTGGCACCCTATATGAACCCCCAGCTTCTCTCTGGAGTAATTCCTAAGCATACAATCAGGAGTAACCCTGAGCACTTGAGAATGGGTGAGAAAAAAGCAAAGCAAAACAAACAAAAATAATAAATATATCTTGTTAGCATTTTTCTAAGATAAATGTGAAAGTAAATATATATCCTGTTTTAAACTTGCTCATGGCTGCCGTGGGCACTATACGCTGTCATGGGGGCTGAGTGGGTGGGCAAAGAGTAGAGTTGACTCAAGGGTCACTGAACACTGACCTTTGTTTGGTCCCTCTGGCTGTGGTGATGCAGGTGAGGCAGAAGCCACGGCGGGTTGCCCTGTTGGTTCGAGATTCCCAGGTTCTTCAATATTAAAGTAATAAAGATGTTCAGACTCAGCCTTGAAAAGTAGAAAAGTTTATTAGAAAGCACAAGTGAAAAGAAAAGAAGCTCCCCAAGTCAACTCTGGCTCTTTTTGTGGGATTTTTATAGGAAAACTGTATTACGGGAATTCTTTGTGTTACTTTGTTGTGCCAAACACAGTAACAACAAGTCTCACAATGGAGACATTAATGGGCCCCTGGAGCAAATCGATGAACAATGGGAGGACAGTGCTACAGTGCTACTTTGTGTTATAGGGAATTCAGGGTAGTGAAAGATCAGTGGTTTCCTACAAACCTTTTAAAATGAAAACTGGGCTCTTGGCAAACATTACAAAGGATGCAGAATTCTAGCAGATCCTTACCTGGCCATTTGCCTTAGCTATTTCCCTTTATCTTAACATTCCTTTGTGAGTCTAAATTCTGGAGAAGAATTTTACCGTGAATAATAGTTAACTCCCTATTTAGCAGGAATCTGCAGGAAGTCAAAAACATGCTCACAACAGCTGGCAAGGGTAAACTGAGGCCTTCTCTTTGGGTAGCAAAGTAACAAAAAACACAACAAAACAAAACAAAAAAATCTTGCAGGATGTCCTAAAACTCCAGTGCGTGTGTGTGTGTGTGTGTGTGTGTGTGTGTGTGTATCTATCCTATTTTAGGCATCCAGCCTCCCTTTGGCCCTGTTAATCTTGCTTATCTGCTCCATGTTCACATCCTCACACAAAGCATTTAACAACTCCTCTGGGCTGGAGTGATAGCACAGTGGGTAGGGCGTTCGCCTTACAAGCGGCCAACATGGCCGACCCGAGTTCGATTCCTCCGCCACCCTCGGAGAGCCCAGCAAGCTATTCGATATGCCAGACACAGTAACAACAAAGTCTCCAATGGAGACGTTACTGGGCCCGCTCGAGCAAATCGACGATCAACGGGAGGGCCTTTACCTTTTACCTTTACCTATCTCCCTAACCATTGCACCCATTAGTCAATTGTGATTTAACCTTTCAGCTGTATTCCAGGTCCCAAGCAGGTGGCTCTCTCAGTTTGGAGTCATTAACAACAGAATCATTTATAGAGGTCAGAGCTATTGCGGGTACAAAAAGGGTAGTGGCTTACCTTGCTCATAGCTGACCAGGGTTCGACCCCCAGTACAGAGCCAGGAGTAATTTCTAAATATCATCAGGTGTGAGCCCCAAATCTGAAAAAGTTAAAAAGAAAGAAAGAAAGAAAGAAAGAAAGAAAGAAAAACTTCTATGAAAACGACAAAGAAATAGGCAGCAGAGAAGAAGTAGAGGGAACTGTGTGACCTAAGGTGTTGCTGTCCCCAAGGAACCAAGGAAGGAACAGAAAAAGTAGGTTGGGAACACTCAAGTGCAAGTGTGTAGGAGTGGTCAGATCTGCAGGATACACCAGCCTGAGGTGACCTCTCATTGGGCAGTAGCCTGGAGAGTAAATATATCCTCTCCCCACTCTAAGGTAAATATATCCTCAGCTCTAATCTCCCAGCGCCCTGGGGGCTGGCCCTCCTCATTGCCCTGGGGGCTGGCCCTCCTCATTGCCCTGGGGGCTGGCCCTCCTCATGGCCCGAGGGCTCAGGAGTCTTGATTGGAATCCACAGTCTCCTGGGGTCTAGGATAGAGGGGGGACTCTTCCAGACAGGTCTGGACTAAAGGGGGGGTTGGGATGAGGAAATTTCTGGCTTATTGGCGGCTGCTGTTTCAATGTGCTCCCAGAAACCGTGCCTACAAGTAACACCCCAAGGCTGGGATGGAAGCGGTGATCTTGTATTTGGGGAATGTAAACCCACAGAGATAAAAGTAAGGAAGGGGGGGGGGCGGGGAGGCGGGGAGATCTGCCAACAAATAGAAGGGGCTGCTAGGGAATGCCGGTCACCACTTCCTGTCCACTCCCCAAGAGCCCCACTGTCTGCTGTCCCTGACAGTGTTGTTGAGCCCCTGGAACTGAGGTCCAAGAAGCAATCAACCTTGGAGCAAGCACGGAGAGGAGAAGCACTCTGCTGGTGCCATTCCCTACTAGGTCCCATTGAAGTAGGCAGGATAGGGAAGGCCCCCTCCCAAGGCAATGGCAAAATTTCCTGGAAAGAAATAGCCCCCAAATTGTGAGAGCCTGATAAGACCCTCAGAAGAAAACAGAAAAAGACAGGAAGTAAGGCCTGATAAGATCCTCACCTGGTGCCAGCTACAGACCCAGAGAAGCTCTAGCAGAAACAAAAGGCCAGGAAAGGAATTTCAAAGAAGACCATCACCACTCCCAACCCCTCTGGTAACCTCCTAGCAAAGGACTTTGACCTAGATAGAAGCCCCACATGGGAGCAGGTCGGAGAAATCTTATAAAGGCCACCTTGAACAAAGGAAGGGCAAGCATATGCTGCCCAAGCCCACATGGGCACAGCACATATGGTGCCTGTGTCTCCCCTCTTGAGACGTGTACTTTCATGCTTTTGTCTAATGCTGGGGTGTGTACAGGGGCTTTCTCCGCCCTTGGAGAAGCCCACGTTCTCTCTTGAGAGCGTTTCTCTCTCTCTCTCTCTCTCTCTCTCTCTCTCTCTCTCTCTCTCTCTCTCTCTCTCCCACACACACACACACACACACACACCTTCAAAAACCCTCCAAATAAAATCTATTTACTTCACTGCTTGTCTACTCCTGAAATGCCTTTCTGCAAGGCGAGATAAGAACCTGGGTCCCGGATGCCACAGGTGGATGGAGAGAGAGTGACTGTCTTTTTCCTCCCTGTTTCACATAAATCACCCGGGGAGCCCATCGACGAAATCATCATGACTCAAATAAATTCGGGTTCAGCTCAGACAGAATAGACTTTCCTGCACTTCTGGATGCTACCATCCATCTCCGACAGAGACCAGGTCCCCTGCCCCACAGAGTGGCATTTGCTCCCAGGGCCAGGCAGAAGGGTAATCCAGCCTAGCTAGGTGACAAGTGTAGGCTCTGGGCAGCCCTGTGGAATTGAGAATCCTGAGAGGCTGGACAAGGCTCTGGCTAACATGCGGTCTGGGGGACACCTTAGATGACAGACACCTTAAGAAGAAAGAAGACGGTTTTTCCAGTCTTTGTTGCTAAGAGATTATGAGTTTATGATCCCTGCCAATTGTACT